CCCCTCCCCCCAATTGGAACCCCCCCGTCTTTTTCAAATTGCAAAAGCCAATAGCAGGCTGGCTATTGCATCCACCCTGGGAGCAGGGGAGTTGAACTGAGAGGCAACTCTCTCTCTCTCTGGTCCCCTCCTCTGCTCAGTGGGTGGGTTTTCAATAGCCAGTCTGCTATTGGCTATTTCAAATTAAATGACATCCACCTGTTGCCCGCGGAAGCCATCTGGCAGAACAATGGGGCCACCCACGGGGTTACCCTGTGGGGGGGGGTGGAAAGTGCAGTGGTCTTGCCTAGGGCGCCAAATAGTCTAGCACCGGCTCTGCGTATCATTAACAATATGTTCAATACAATGTGTCAATGAGAAATGTATTTCTGTTTTTTCTGCATTTACTCTCTTCTATTACCAACATTTACTGGACATTCTACAAAAATACAAATCATGTCAGCTACAGAATTATGGTTTGTAAATTCTTAAAAGAGGAAATTGTAACTTTATAGACAAGTAGTAATCTGATCTTAGTTTTCAGTTCAATCCGTTCTTTTGGTATATTTTAGTTGTGAAATAAAATATAAAAACAGATTCATACTTTGAGCAAATATTCTACTAGTTAGACACTTGTCTAGTGAGCACTAAACCAGGCCATTGCCCAGTGAAGGCCACCAACATCCAGGCCATTACCCAGTGAAGGCCACCAACATCCAGGCCATTACCCAGTGAAGGCCACCAACATCCAGGCCATTACCCAGTGAAGGCCACCAACATCCAGGCCATTCCCCAGTGAAGGCCACCAACATCCAGGCCATTGCCCAGTGAAGGCCACCAACATCCAGGCCATTGCCCAGTGAAGGCCTCCAGTGCCTTGGTGTACATCCCAAAAGAAAACGTATACTCCTTATATCAAATATGTTGCAAAAGTTTAGTTTTCTCAAATAATAAATCATTCAAACACAATGGATTGTCTGGAAAGTATGTACCTACAATATGGGAGAGCGGGTAATAAATGTATTCACGTCAAGGTGTATTATAGATTAGGGAGCATACAATAGCGTCAGCATTGGTTTTATGAAGGGAAGATACTTAAAGTGACATTAAACCCTCAGATTTTTTAACATAAACCAATACTGTAATGTGCGCCTTACTGTAATCCATGGTAGTTTCCCTTCTCTTTGCTGCTCTTCCTTTTAAATCCTCATGTCTTCTCATGCTGGGGGAGAACTTCCCTGTGCAGCTGAGTGCCTCTTCCTGTAGTGCTGGCTCAGGTGGCAAACCCACACACAGACACCATGTATCCATTCCAGAGACAAGGCAGTCTGCTGCAAAACAGAAGTTCTGCCCAGCATGAGAAGAGATACAGATTTAAAAGGAAGAGCAGCAAAGAGAAGGGAAACTACCATGGATTACAGTAAGGCGCACATTACAGTATTGTTTTATGTTACAAAATCTGAGGGTTTAATGTCACTTTAAGCAGAGTTGAGGAATTAATAATTGCAGGTTGTAACCGGAAACAAGATTGGCTCCTTGAGAAATAACTTTCTCCGTGAACAATATGGACCAGGTCCCATGTGCACCAGAACGTTATCTACAAATAAAAATCCACTCTTCTGTACACAGTCCTAGTCTACTCTCTGTCAGGGTTCCACCCTGACTTTACTGGTTTGCAGCATTCTGGCTTGGCTGCCATTTTACCCACCTGTGATGCCTCCTTTGCCTGAGCAGACTGTGTAACGTTGCTCACTACTCCCAGGCTCCCTCTTATGGCCAGACAGGAGAGCATCACATAAGAGAGGCAGATGGGAGTTTCCTGTCTCTGAGTGATGATGTCACCCCACTCACTATATATAAACCACTCAGTCCAGTCTGGCCTTGCCCTTGTGTGGTCTTCCTGCTGCTCTGAGTATCCTGAGTCCATGTATGACCCGATCCTGGCTGACGTTCTCCTCTGGCTCCCGCTCCTGGCTTGTTCCTGACGACGCTGATCTCCGTGTTCCTGACCTGGCTTGGACGACTACCCACTCCGGCTCCTGACTTTGGTTTGTTCTGGTTTATGATTCTGCTTGCTCTTGTGGACACTGTTCTTAATAAATATTTTAACTAGCACCTTTCTCTTGTCTGGTTTTCATTGTGCTCTGACACTCTCTGCCTTGTACCATATCCCTATGTTCTCTCATCTCGTGTAGGTTTCACATTCGTTACTATCGGGATGTTCTGGGCCTCATGTTAGCAGTAGATGAAATTAATGATTCTCCGGAGCTGCTGCCTAATATCACTCTTGGCTTTAGCCTGCTGGATTCCTGTATGTCAGAGCTCCAGGCAGTGGGAGGAGTTCTGTCCCTGTTGTCAGGACTTGGAAACCCCTTTCCTGGATATGATTGTCATACATCATCTGTCATGGTTGGGATTGTAGGTGATCAGCTTTCTGCCCTTTCTATACCCATTGCTCGAATACTCGGTGCCCTCCATTACCCGCAGGTCTGTATTTGGTAAAGTTCTTTATTTGTTATGTTTAATCCAAACTAACTTATCAAGATGTGTTCATATTTTACAAATCCTTATTTCTATATATAGTTTGTGCTTACATATTTACATGTGGGCAGCCATATTGGCTCATTCCATAGACATGTTAGTCTTCCTTAATAATACTGTTGAAGAATCTTATCTCTCTGGAGGGTCTGTCAGTCAGCTAAGGCCCATAATAATTCTTTGAATGTATACAGTCTGCAGGTCCCACAAAGCCATTCTATCCCCATCAATCTCTCTGTTATGGTGACACCCCCTGGCAGGTGACACAGGCTTACCTGAGGGGTGGAGTCTAAGCACCAGCCGGTGTTCACCAGAGCTCCTGATGGTGGAGATGGGCTAGGCTGCTTGCTGGTACCAGGTTGCGGTCCCCAGGGTTGCCCTGCCAAGGGACGGACGAGAACAGGAGGGCTCCAATGAGGAGACAGTAGTCAGATCCAGGCAGAGTTTCAAGGCAGGCGGCTAGCAGAAGGTGCTCGGACAGTCCAAGGTTGGCAACTAGCAATCAGAGGATAAACGCAGGAGACAAAGTCAGGTCCTGTCACGATCTGGGATCAGGCTTAGAGTCCAGCAGCTGAAGCAGCAGGCAATTCGTAGTATAACAGGGCAGGTTCGGTACACAAGCAGGCGGTAGTGGTGGAGGAGCAGGCAGAAGCGTGGTCAGTGAACAAGCCGAGGTCAGCAGCCAAAGGTATCAGGTATGTAGCAGGAGACAGTGAGAGTAGTCGGTGAATCAACAGCCAAAGGTGGGTACACGGGAAGCAGTATGAGTAGATTGTAGCACAGAGGGAGCAGGAAGCGAGATAATGGCAAGAGCATAATAATCTGGAAAACAGGAAGTGCAGAGGCGTGGCTTAAATAGGGATCAAGGGAATAAGTTCAAGGGAGGAGCAAGGAGGTCAGAGTTCAGCAGAAACTAGGTTTACCTGAGGATTACACAGGAGATCAGGCATGGAGCTACCCAAGGTTCTAAGGTGGCTCAGCAGGTAGAACCACAGCCAGCTACAGCAGGGGCCCTGGGTTCAGATCTGGTTCCTGACAGGTCCAGGCAGAAGATCAGGGTGGGCAGCAAGCGAAGAAGGGTCAGACAGTCCAGGTCAGCAACGAGAAAATTGCAGAAGTATAAGCACTTTCACAAACAGGAAGCTGGCAAGACACAGTACCAGCTCCTTGCAGAGCGAGTGCTTAAATACCCCTCTGAATCAGAAACAACATGCCCAGCCTCAGGGTTCACTGGAAGTCCTGGTCTGGAATCTGTTACTATTATCAGCCGTACTGGCCTGGAACCTGTTAGATCCATTAGTAGAGGATCTCCTGGAAGTCCTGGCTGGGATTCTCAGTGGATCGCTAAACCTGACAGGTATTCTGAGCTTATTATAACACTGTCAAGTCACTTTCATTGAAAACAACAAGCTCTGCGTGTGGCTTGTCCTGTAATTTATTTACACGTATCCTTATGTTTCAAACACTTCTAAGCAATGATATGTACATAATTCCCTTTCCAGATCAGTCATGGGGCGACCCTTGCAGCTCTGAGCAATAAAATACAATTCCCATCATTTTTCCGCACCATGCCCAGCAACCTCTTTCAGAACATTGCTCTCATCCAGCTGATTGGGCGTTTTAGTTGGACTTGGGTCGGGATGTTGGTGGTGGACAATGATGCCGGGCAGCAGGGGGCCCAGGTTATACGAGCTGGGATAGAGAGAAATGGAGGTTGTATTGCTTTCCAGGAGAAAATCCACCTGAGTTATTCGACCAGACAGATCAGGAGAGTGGTGGATGTTATTAAAGGAAGCTCCATCAATGTGATCATTCTCCACAGCCCGGAGGTCCATGTGACGGCCCTGCTAGATGCCATGTTTGATGACGGGCTCACCGGGAAAACGTTCATCTCTTCAGCTTCCTTTATAATCACCCCCGGACTCTTCTCCAAGAAAGCCTGGAAGGTCTTAAATGGCACAATTGGACTGGTTCCCGGGTCTGCCCACATGCCAGGGTTTGAGGAGTTCCTTCTAAACCTTCATCCAAATGCCAGCTCTATGTACCCATTTATTAGGCTGTTCTGGGAGAAAGCTTTCAGCTGCCACTGGCCTGATGGAGATGCTGAGGGGTCAGTCGCTCCCATTATAAAAGAACATGTGACCTGCTCCGGGAAAGAAGAGCTCGGAGGTGAGATTGCTCAGTTATTTGAGACAAATGATCTCACTTTGACTTATCATGCGTACCTGGCGGTATATGCCTACGCACACGCTCTGCATTCACTGCTCGGCTGTCCAACCATATCGGAAGGTTATTTCAGTCACGCAGTGTGCGCCGATATCAATGAGGCTCAACCCCGGAAGGTGCGTAACAATTATGTATTTAATCATAACGTATGGATTGTGACTTTCATTGTATATATAGAAAGAAAAAAGATGTTTAATAACCAGAAAATTACTTCATATCGTCGTTACAATGTATTTCTCTTTCAATGGTCAACCCCGACTAACCACCTGAACTCGTCTGCTACATTCTAATCTGTTAAATATTTAATTGTTACCACGTTCCATGGCATTAGATACACTTCAGATAACTTTCCTGACATCAGCCTCCACGTTCATTCGTTGTCTCACTGTACATAAATGACATAGTAAGGACTTCCAACCTCAGCAGTTGCATTGTAATAGACATGTGCGATTCGTTTCGTTACGAATCGAAATACGTACGAATTTTCCTGACATTCGTAAATTCGGAAGCATCCGAAATCCGAATTGCAGTTTCCGAATTATATCCGAAATACGAAATTCCGTTAACGAATTTCGGATCCAAATTTCTTTGAAACGGGAACTAATATTACCCCTGTAAATGAGGTTGAACAGCATGACAAGATTTTTTTTTAAATCCGAAATACGGATCCGCTGCTGCTGAGAGTCGCATTACAATACACAGGCAGGAAATACGAAATTCCGTTGACGTATTTTTCATTCCGTTACGAACATTCGTTATATTGAAGTTAAAAAGCAAAGTACATTTATATTGGAGTTGATGGTAGTTTTTTTAAATACGAAATTCGGATACAGAATCCGTTAACGGAATTCGTATTTCGGATTAAAAAACAACTACCACATCGACTCCAATATTAACAAAGGTATTTTTGCTTTTTAACTTCATCATAACGAATGTTCGTAAAGTTACGAAAATGTGCCGAAACTAACGAAAATTCGTATTTCGTACGAATCAGAATTGACTTTCGGATACGAATTACGAAATACGAAATAATGGATATTCCGAAACGGAACAAATGTTTTGATTGCGCACAAGTCTACATTGTAATAGACATGTGCGATTTGTTTCATTCCGAATCGAGATTCGGACGAAGTTTTGGAAATTTGGAGATTCGTATGTATCCGAATTCCGAATAACAGGTATAACGTATGCAAACGAATCCGAATTTCCTATTCCGAATTTCCGATTCGTTTTTTTGGACGAAATTTCGTTGCAGCAAAGTGACATTTGAGAACAAAAAAACTTTTTTCCCTCTTAAATGTCACTTTGCTGCAACGAACGAAGGAAACGAAAACAAAACAAAATTCCGTACGGATTTCCGCTAACGAATTTCGTCTGAATCCGAATTCCGAAACGAATTGACTTTCGGACCCGAATTCCGAAAAACGAAATAAAGCAAAATCCGAATCGAAACGAAACAAATGTTTCAGGTCTACATTGTAATAGTCATTAGACACGTGCACTGTCAAAAATTTTTGTTTCGTTTCGTTTAAAATTCGGATTTGTGTTTTTCGTTTTTCGGGATTCGGGTGTGAAAGTCAATTCGGATTCGGAATTCGGATTCGGACGAAATTCGTTAGCTGTAGTCCGTTCGAACGTTCGTTTCTTTTTCGGTTCCTATTCGTTTTGTTCCTTCATTCGTTCGTTTGCAGCAAAGTGACACTTGAGGGGGGAAAATGTTTTTCTCCTTCTCTAATGTCACTTTGCTCCAACGAACTAAACGAATAAGAAACGGAAACGAAACGAACGTTCGAACGAACTACCGCTAACTAATTTCGGAAACGGAAATTCGGATTCGTTTGCATTCGTTATATCTGTCATTCGGAATTCGGATACATCCGAATGTCCGAATTTCCAAAAAATTCGTCCGAATTTCGATTCGGAACGAAACGAATGGCACATGTCTAATAGTCATCATTGTGGGAGTTCTCTCCCGAACGTGCATTGCTAGTGAATCTTTATCTACCTTTGTCAATGACATAACACAGCTTCTTAAAGATGGTAATAGGAAATCGGAGGAGGGGGTAGAATGTGGGGACTATTTTGGCCTCATATACAGACAAATTAGAAGCAAAGGAAAGCTGGAAGCTGGCTTGATTACTAACAGGTCAGTGTGTGATTTCCTGAGCTTAAAGTGACATTAAAGTCAAAAAATGTTTCCCCCTCCCCCCATGTAAATGTCAGCACTTACCTTAAATTATGTCTCCTAATCCGATCTTCTTTCCTGATGTTTTCATCTGTCCCTCCAGAGGTGCGGCGGCTCTCCGATCCAGCGCTGACTCCTTTCTGCTTGCTGGCACTTCCTGTCCCGCGGTGTCTGCATGCGGGTGCACGCCGTCCGTAGACTTACCTTGCGTCTCTGCTCGTCTCCCGGCCGAGAATCTGAACTGCGCATGCGCCCGCCCCAAGATGCTTTGCGGCCGCATTGAACAGTTTCGGATTCTCGGGCGGCCGCGCGCAGCGATAACGGAGTAAGTTTAAACCGCTGTTAAAGCGGTTTTTGTTTTTAAAAAAACTTATCCGCTGCTTGATAGCAGTAGATATAGGCAAAAAAAACGGAGGCTTTAGAACCACTTTAACTCTGGGCAGCCCATTTAGGGTAGAACTCTACCTGTGGGGCCGCTAAGGAGAAGCGAACGCTCCCTTATCACCTGGGTCACTGCGGCTTCATGCCATCCATTCCCCATCCTTCCTTCTCAGGCACAGCCCCTTCCTGCCGTCCACTAGACATGTGCGATTCGTTTCGTTACGAATCGAAATTCGTACGAATTTTCCTGAAATTCGTAAATTCGGAAGCATCCGAAATCCGAATTGCAGTTTCTGAATTATATCCGAAATACGAAATTCCGTTAACGAATTTCGGATCCGAATTTCTTTGAAACGGGAACGAATATTACCCCTGTAAATGAGGTTGAACAACATGACAAGATTTTTTTTTTAATCCGAAATACGGATCCGCTGCTGCTGAGAGTCGCATTACAATACACAGGCAGGAAATACGAAATTCCGTTAACTGAATTTCGTTCCGTTACGAACATTCGTTATATTGAAGTTAAAAAGCAAAAATACCTTTGTTAATATTGGAGTTGATGGTAGTTTTTTTTTTAATACGAAATAAGTGGGGAGGATTGACCCTGAGGCCAGACTGGGGGAGAAGATCGGCCTGAACATTAGCGCCATCCTGTGGAATCATCACTTTGTACAGGTAGTTGATGTGCCTTGCCTGGTGAATATTTAATCTGACTTCCATCCTTCCCTTCAGGCTTGTACTTGTTCCTCTGCTGGACTGAAATTGCTTCTCACAATGTGCATTAGAAGCTGCAGCAAGTCAGACACGGCCCCGCCTCATTTCCTGGCTGGTGATGCTGAATGTCCTCCAGTCAGGATATGAGGCGGAGCTCTGTCTGACTTGCTGCAGCTTCTAATGCACATTGTGAGAAGCAATTTCAGTCCAGTTGAGTGGAGCCGGAAAACAACTGTGCAAGACTGAAGAGAAGGACGGAGTTCAGCTTTAGTGAATATAAAGCTGCATTCTTTGGTGTCTAGCTCTTGCTGGAGTTCTTTTTTAGGCCCAAAAATAATTTTTCACATAGCATGAAGAAAAATACAGACCAGAAACCAATATGGGGGTTGATGTAGTTCATGGCATTTCTCCAATTGTTTCTTCTCCTCCATGTCCGGTCATGATGAATGAATTTGTCTCCTCGGCAGGTCCCAGTCTCCGTCTGCAGTAACAGCTGTCGGCCCGGGTACAGGAAAGCCCCTCTACAAGGAAGACCCATCTGCTGCTATGACTGCGTGCCCTGCTCTGAGGGAGAGATGTCCAATCGCACAGGTATCATTTGCGGGCTCCGATAGACCTCTCATTCTTGTGGTTTCAGCTCCTGCCCCTTGTGGGCTCCACTAGAGATGATACAGAAATGATCCAAGCCATGCTAGCTGTCGTTAGTGACATTCACCTGCGGTCATGGGAAAGAAGTCACTGGAATATGTGGTGAGATGTTTCCAGATTTTATTAATAAATGTAACTATCATATTGATGACGGGGGAGGGGAGGAACCAGAGACGGCAACATACAATCAGACTGAAATCCCACTTTAAAGGAGAACTAGGAGGGGAGTGATTTGCACTCAGCCTCATAATCTGAGCCGACCTGTGACAATGAGACTGTCACAAGTCGCCTCAGTAGATCGGGAACACATACCGGCGCTCGCTCACTTCTCGGTCTATCCTTGCAGAGAGCCGTGACAGTCACTCACAGCTCCCTGCAGGCGTTCCCCCCCCTCCCCTGTCCGATCCTCCAGCGCTGACTGGCGGAACGGACGGGGGGCGGGTACAGCTGGCTCTGCCTCTAGATAGGCGGAGCCAGCTGTCACTCACGCAGCTGGGTGGAACCAGACAGAATTGTCGGGATCCGTTCCGGCTGCGGCATCTCAGTATACCGCGAGCTGTAGCTTTGGGTGACGGGAGGACGCTAGTTTGTTTCCTCCTGTTACCCTAAGGAGAACTATGGGGAAGAGCCCTGACCCCAGAGTTCTCCTTTAACAAAACAATTGCAATATTTTAGCTAATATGAAGTTTTAGAGCGGCAGGCCAAAGCGACCTTTAAATATCTTCATCCCATCGATCTCATTGGTAGGAAATCATTTCTAAGTATAGCGTCTTCTTAGGTCACGCAGATCCTACGCGTCCCATCCATCTTTACCAAGCAAATCAATTCGGTTTTGGGGTAAGGAACCTGAAAACCTCATTGTGTTCGGCGAGTCCTTACACTCAGATAAAAAAAAGAGGCAGCGCAATCAATATGAACATTGTAAAGGGGACGGGCACAGCTGGAAGTGGCAGAGGTACACCATTCAGAGAAGTTCGTCCGGCACGTTTATTTAACAAGGCAGCAAATATTAGACTTGTGCGCCGTCAAAAAATGAGTTTTGTTCCGTTTCGTAATATCCGTTATTTCGTAATTCGTGTCGGCAACTCAATTCGGATTCGTACGAAATACGAATTTTCGTTAGTTTCGGCACATTTTCGTGACTGTACGAACATTCGTTATGATGAAGTCAAAAAGCAAAAATACCTTTGTTATTATTGGAGTCGATGTGGTAGTTGTTTTTTTTTTATCCGAAATACGAATTCCGTTAACGGATTCCGTATCCGAATTTCGTATTTCGGATAAAAAAAAAAATACCATCAACTCCAATATTAACAAAGATATTTTGCTTTTTACCTTCAATATAACGAATGTTCGTAACGGAACGATAATACGTCAACGGAATTTCGTATTTCCTGCCTGTGTATTGTGATGCAACTCTCAGCAGCAGCGGATCCGTATTTCGTATTAAATAAAAAATCTTGTCATGTTGTTCAACCTCATTTACAGGGGTAATATTAGTTCCTGTTTCAAAGAAATTTGGATCCGAAATTCGTTAACGGAATTTCGTATTTCGGATATAATTCCGAAACTGCCATTCGGATTTCGGATGCTTCCGAATTTACGAATTTCATGAAAATTCGTACGAATTTCGATTCGTAACGAAATGAATCGCACATGTCTAGCAAATATAGTTAAATGCAGGAGGGCTTTGTATAGAACGTCCATAGCATAAAACCAGCAAAACAGCTGCTCGTCCAGAGCCATCAACTAAACTCGCATCAGTTCCTGACTAGCAGGGGGGCCCCAGTAGGTTCCCAAACATTAACAGGTGTCTCCTGTATCTTTGTTAGTGTTCTGTCCATTGTCAGCCTTATCACACACCACCAGAGAGAGTCAGAGGGAAATAGAGCCATGGGCATCAGCTAGCGTGCATAGATGAAGGCCTGTGGACAACCAAGACTGTAGACCGCAGATTGCACAATAGCTTGCAATGCCAGGCTGCAGCACACAATGCCAGGCTGAGACACACAATGTCAGGCTGCGGCACACAATGCCAGGCACACAATGCCAGGTTGCTGCACACAATGCCAGGTTGCGGCACACAATGCCATGCTGAGGCACACAATGCCAGGCTGAGACACACAATGCCAGGTTGCGGCACACAATGCCAGGTTGCGGCACACAATGCCAGGCTGGGGCACACAATGCCAGGCTGAGGCACACAATGCCATGCTGAGGCACACAATGCCAGGCTGGTGCAGACAATGCCGGGCTGCGGGACACAATGCCGGGCTGAGGCACACAAGGCCAGGCTGAGGCACACAATGCCAGGCTGGGGCACACAATGCCAGGATGTGGCACACAATTCCATGATCGAGCACACAATGCCAGGTTGCGGCACACAATGCCAGGCTGGGGCACACAATGCCAGGCTGAGGCACACAATGCCATGCTGAGGCACACAATGCCAGGCTGGTGCAGACAATGCCGGGCTGCGGGACACAATGCCGGGCTGAGGCACACAAGGCCAGGCTGAGGCACACAATGCCAGGCTGGGGCACACAATGCCAGGCTGTGGCACACAATTCCAGGCTGCGGCACACAATTTCAGGCTGCGGCACACAATGCCAGGCTGGGGCACACAATGCCAGGCTGCGGCACACAATGCCAGGCTGGGGCACACAATGCCAGGCTGGGGCACACAATGCCATGCTGAGGCACACAATGCCAGGCTGCGGCACACAATGCCATGCTGAGGCACACAATGCCATGCTGAGGCACACAATGCCAGGCTGCGGCACACAATGCCAGGCTGCGGCACACAATGCCAGGCTGAGGCACACAATGCCAGGCTGGTGCACACACAGCGAGTAGAGTACTGTCCTGTATTATAAAGGGAATGTTCTGTAGAGACAGAGCAATCATTCTGCCACTTTAAAGATCGCTGGTTCGGCCTCATCTGGAGTACGCGGTCCAGTTTTGGTCACCAGTCTACAGAAAGGACGTCCTGGAGCTGGAGAGAGTCCAGATAAGGGCAACCAAACTAATTAAGGGGCTGGAAGAACAAAGCTATGAGAGGAGGAGGAGGGGATGGAGGAGCAAAGGTATGAGACGAGGTTACTAAATCTAAACATGTTCACGCTGGAGGTGAGGAGATTAAGAGAGGACATGATTCTGATGTACAATGTTGGGTGGCGAATCTGGCGATAGCAACATCCGCAATAAACTTTTTACTATAAACTCCATAACAAGGACTAGAGGCCACCACCTAAAACTGGTGGAGAAAAGATTTGAGCACAAGGGGCGTAGGGGATTCTTCACAATCAGAGCGGTGAGGGTCTGGAACTCTCCTCCACAAGCAGTGGTATCAGCTGAGAGTATTGAATCATTCAAAAAGCATTTGGACTACCTGGGGGTAGTGATTTCTGGCTCACCCCAGGACTTCCTGGCAACGAACTTACTCCCGATTTTGGGAGACATGAAGCAGAGACTGAAGGCATGGGCGAATTTACCTCTGTCCCTATTAGGCAAGATCAATTTAGTTAAAATGAAGCTTTTACCCAAATTAACATATATTTTTCGCAATTGTCCCATATGGATCCCACAATCCTATTTCCATCAGCTGAACCAATTAGTCTCCTCCTTCTTGTGGGGCACTAAACCCCCAAGGTATAAACTCAGGACCCTAATGCGACCCACTCTCCAGGGTGGACTGGCGCTCCCAGACTTTTACAAATATTTCCTAGCAACACAAATGGTCACGGCCCACTGGTGGCTCTCAGCCGATGTAACCAATTCCTCGGTTATGTTGGAAGCAGCAGCCCTGAACTCCGTGGAGGCTCTAACTGGCCTTTTATACAGAGGGCCTAAAGCCCCTATCCTCCTTACCCCTCCATGCGAACGACCATCAAGGTATGGCGCATGGGAAGTTCCTGGTGCTCCAGGACGGCCCTGGATGTTTCCCCAAAAACACCTTTGTGGAATAACCCCAACTTGCCCCACTTCCACACGGTCCCTGACCCTGCTTTTTGGGCAAAACGAGGTGTGAAGCTCCTCTCTGATATTGTGGTGTCCACTTCCCTGATCTCATTTGAAGACCTAGCCGCAAGGAATGCTATACCCCCCAAATTTATTTTTCGCCACCTACAACTCGCCCATGCCTTCAGCGCTCAATTCCCAGGAGATGGGGTTCGCCTGGGAGAATCTCAATTGGAGTCCCTGGCTGGGACGGTGGGACTGAGGAAGCCTGCCTCCAGTTTCTATACTACTCTACAGAACCTGAAATTCTCTAGCCTGCTCACATTACAGAATAAGTGGAGAATGGACGTCCCTGACATGGACGAGGAAGACTGGGAGGAGGTCTGGGATGCACCCTTTAAACAACAGGTTGCAATAAGGGATAGAATGGTGCAATTCAAGATACTGCATAAAGCATATTTTACCCCCCATCGTTTACATAAAATGAATGCATCCATCTTTCCATCCTGTTGGAGATGTACGTGTGAGGAGGTTTTTTCATGTTTTTTGGGAGTGTCCCCTCATCAGGTCCTACTGGGGCTCCACGGTAGACTATATCTCAAAGGGTTACCTCATTGCCACTGACACCATCGCCGAGAATGTGCCTCCTGGGCCTGGTGGAGGATGTAGCTCCGACCAGGTCCGAACGCATGTTGATAGGTCTGACATTGTTCTATGCTCGCAAGGCTATTGCTATGTGCTGGAAGAAACCGGCCCCGCCGGAACTCTCCTTTTGGAAAAAATTGGTGAATGATAACCTACCTTTGTACCAGGACACGTATGCCAACAGGGGATGTCCAGGGAAGTTCCATAAAACTTGGGATAGCTGGCTAGAATGTTCTAACTCGGCAGTAGACCTGGATGCACGCTCTTAAAGGGGGACCATTGCCCCTCTGGGGAGCTCTAGACCTGTCTGGACCATGTCCGACCTGAGAATCAGGACGAGATAGGCGCCCCATTGTCTGGGTCACCCATCCCGCGATCTCCTGTCAAGGCCGGAGCCCCTAGCGGGCATATGGTAGGGCTGTGGGAAGGCCTAGCGAGCCCTGTTGTGGAATAATCCCCCACCTGTAATGTAGAACCAGAATTGCTCTTTGTTTTCTTTTGCCCTTTTGTTCCTTCCTTTATTTTCTTTTCCAACGCTATTGATGCTGTATTGTTCTGTTGAATGCACTGCTATGCATCGTGCCACTAATGTTAGGCACAAATAGCGTGCACAGTTGTACTATTTGCTTGTAAAACAATAAATAATTTTGACCAAAAAAAAAAAGCATTTGGACAACTTCCTCGGAGACCGTAACATACAGGGGGACAGGTACACTTAAAAACAAGAACACACAGGGACACACGCACACACATGTAGAATCACATGCATACACGCAATAGGTTGAACTTGATGGACCTGTGTCTTTATTCAACCTCAAATACTATGTATCTATGTAACATTACCAGGTAAGATGTGGACTAAGGAATGGAGGCTTTATCCCACCCAGACCTCTACAAAGACTGTGAGCTCCCAGAGGACTTGTACAAAGAGTAGTTTCTTCAACATTAGCTATGAATTCTGGAGCCCCTCACCGTGTGTATGTGAGAATCCCAGGAGACACATATACACCACCCACCATCCTGCCAGCCGGCGGCTCGCTCTTCACAAAATCTATCCACCGACATGAGCGTTCGGCCAGCTTCTACCCTGATGTTGGCTTCACGTGAAGGAAACAGATGATATTACTTGAAGAAGGAATCAAAAGATAGGCAAAGCAGGACAGTGGCCTAGTGGTAAACATTTCTGCCTTGCAGCACTGGGGTCCTTTAGATTCTGGCCAGGACACTATCTGCATGGGGTTTGCATGTTCTCCTCGTGCTTGAGTGGTTTTCCTCTAGCATTCCAAAAGATATGCTGGTAGGGTCATTGGCTCCTGTCTAAGTTGGCCCTAGTATGTGTTTGGTTGTGCATTTTACAGAGGGACCCTAGATTGTAAGTTCCTTGAGGGCAGGCAGCAAAGTAAATGGTTGGCACCATATGAATGCCTGTAATAAATACTGAGTGTCCGGTTCCGGTTTATCTCATGAACTAGACTGTAGATTGCCATTGCTGGAGCGGAAGGCTGTCACTTCACAACAGTGTATCCAGAAAACGTAACTCTCCCACAAATATTAACACATGATCATTGACATAACGCTGACCATATATTCCTTCTAGGTAGTGACTGGAGACATCATCTGGTTGTCGATCATATCTTCATTCTTGTTTAGGTGCTGCTGAGTGTGCCAGATGTCCCTCCGATCAGTGGTCCAATGAGGAGAGAGACAGATGTGTCCTGAAGGTGATAGAGTTCCTCTCATACAATGAACCATTGGGAATCGTGTTGGTGATAATGGTTTTCATGTTGTCTGTCCTGACTGTATGCATCTTAATCATCTTCATTAAATATCAGGACACGCCCATCATCAAAGCCACCAATAGGGAGCTGAGCTACATCCTCTTGGTGTCTCTCGTTCTCTGCTTCCTCTGCTGCCTGGTGTTCATTGGTCAACCGTCCAAATTCAGTTGTCTCCTGAGACAAACCTTCTTCAGTGTGGCCTTCTCCATCAGCATCTCCTCAGTCCTGGCCAAGACTATCATGGTGATCCTCGCCTTTAAAGCCACCAGGATGAACAGTCCATTGAGGAAATGGCTCGGTCCCGCCATCCCTCGCAATGTTGTAGCACTTTGTTTAGTTGTTCAGATGTGTATTTGTTCCCTATGGCTTCACAGGTCCCCTCCATTCCCAACACTGAACACGCAGAACTATAAGATCACATTTGAGTGTAATGAAGGACAGAAAGTATTCTTCTACATGTCTCTGGGGTTCATGGGCTCTCTGGCCATGGTGAGTTTCCTGGTGGCCTTCCTGGCGAGGAACCTCCCGGGAAGCTTCAACGAGGCCAAACTGATCACCTTCAGCATGCTGGTCTTCTGCTGCGTCTGGATCTCCTTCATCAAGGCCTATCTGAGCACCAGTGGAAAATACACTGTGGCTGTTCAGATATTCGCTATCCTGGCCTCCAGTGCAGGACTGCTGAGCTGTATATTCCTGCCGAAATGTTATATTATCCTGCTGAGACCAGAGAGGAACCATCGAGAGTTCTTATCAGGAAGTAGAAGGAGAATGGATTTGGTGAAATAATATCCTGTTTTATTATATAGATATGACTTATATGGAGCGATTGTGAAGGAATGTGCAGCCGTAATAAGAGATAGAAAGGTTGGGCCGGTCTTGAAGCAAACTTGTGGTTTCACCATTCAGGGCACAGCAACAGATTCATATTAGGTCCCCATTTACCCAGAGCCGGCGCTACCCTACAGGCAGGTCAAGCAACTGCCTGAGGGCGCCGGTGGGGGGTGGAAAGATGCGGACTGGGAGGGGGGCCGCTTTAAGACGGCCGCCACCGTGGCGATCACACCTCTACGGTCCCTCTCTCTCCTCCCAGCCGCTGCAGCTTCAGAGCGGCCAGGAAGAGAGAGAGGGAGCGCTGTCAGGTGTGATCAGAACCGCCTCTCAGCGCCGGTATGAAGAGCCGAATTTGCCACCAGGGAGCAGAGGAGCGGCAGGGATCCTTTTGATGAGGTGAGCGACATCAGGTTCCCGGGCCCCGCGCCCCCCTCGCCATGCAGTTCTCGCCCGCTCCTTCGAACCCCCCCGCCACCGGCTACCTTTGTCAGGAGACAGTGAGGGGAGAGCTGCACTCGCAGCCCTTCCTCTCAGCGGTCACAGGAGTTCCAGCACAGTGCTCCTGTATTGGAGGTGACAGGTTCAGTAAAGGGAACCTGTCACCTCCATATGCTATCACACAGGGGCTTGTTTGCTCCTGTGTGATAGCAATAAAGTTAAGTGAAACAAATAAACAATTAAATACAAATAAAAAAGTGATTGAAAAAAGTTAAAATAAAGAAATAAAATTAGAGGCGCACTAAAATGAACATTTCAAAACCGAAACAAAAAATTTAATATCCGGCCAAAACCGAAACCGTAAATGTTTTTTTTCTAACCCTGTTAAAAAAAAAGCAGCCATCTGAGGGCGCGCGTGGGGAGGTGGGGGAGGGGTAGGCGCAAAAATACACCTTCGCCTGTGTAGGTAAAAATCCTAGCATCGGCCCTGCATTTACCCCCAACATGTAATTACGTTTCCTTTGTCCTCATGCCTCTCTATTCAGTTCCAGTAGCTGAGGCGTTACCCTGAACTTTTAGCTTTGGAGGAGCATGTGACAATACGAGCCAATCACTGTTGTCAGAATGCATAGGCCGGTGTAAGCTATGACTTACACAAGGCTATTCTTTGCCTTCAATGGCTGAATTGAGCAGCAAGGGAGCAAAAGTAAGGCAAGTATATGTTGCTGTATTGAGGTAGAACAACACAGGCCTCTAACATTGCCTCATGTGGGCAAAGCACAGGCTTACTTTATAGGCAGGGCCGGATTTGCCACAAGGCCAACCAAGGCCCGGCCTTGGGGCAGCAAGGAGTAGAGGGCAGCAGGGGTGTGGAATTCCTATCTCCTGATGCCCGGGGACATGCAGTTCCAGGCGGCGCCGGGAGGGTAATTGTTTTCTACATTTAGCCCGGCTTTGGGCAAGCAGAGCTAAATGTACAGCGGGGAAGCCGCAGCTTGTTTTGTACAAGTGATCCCGGCGATGTCACCAAGATCACTTGTATGCAGCCTGCAGGTCTGCCATTCTCCATGGGGAGGGGGTTTTGGCGGGTAGGGGGGCAAAAGGTTGAGCTGGGCATCAGAAAGGCGGAGTCAAGGTTGGGAGGCATTGGGCAAACAAAGAAAATGGCGGAGGGTCGGCCTCACTCAATCATAATAATCAAGAATCTGAGCCTCAGCAAAACCATCGGGAACCGTTCCTCATACAGTGCAATGAGCAGACTGTCAAGCAGTATGGTTGTGCGCGCAGTTCCACATTGGCTTTTGTTTCCTTCCTCAAGAAACGAAAGGGGTGAAGAGCAGGGCGCCCTGGAACGGGTTCTCCCCGAGAGAGTGGCCCGAGCCTTGGAAAGCGTTGTAGTTCCGTAGCCGATGGCCTCCGTCGCCCTTGACTGATCGATAGGGAGTCGGGATCCTCACAACCGTAGCGGCAGCGACTTCCAGTGCGGCAACGTGACCGATCCCGGAGAAGTAAGCGGGAGCCCCGTGGAGAGTTCTACTTTGCCGTTTTGGGGTGTTTTTCTCGGGTGACGTGTTTCTTCTGACTCCTCCAGCTGCTGTTACTTGCTTTCTGTAGGTTGAACTCGATGGACTTGCGTCTCTCTTCAACCTGACTATGTAACTATGAAAGTAGATTTGATGCCGACTATCGCCTAAAAGAGTGGCATCACAAGGGGGGTGCAAGGGGGGGGGGCCACACCCGCGTGACACCATTGGAGTTGACACCAAAATTACTGACAGTGATTTTGGTGTCACCCCCCTCTGAAAAGTCGGGGGCTCGGTCATGGACAGAGAGCCCAACAGTGTCAGGAGAGAGAAGGGGACCCGACGTCATACCTCATCCCACCGGGTGAACGTCCCCTCCTCTCTCTGCCGGCGTCCACAACCAAGATGGCCGCCGGCAGGCATCAATACGATGGCCGCGCATATGCAATGACGTCACGGCAGGGTGTCACCCGGCCTCAGGACGCCCCTGGCCTAAAATATAGTTTTCTAGCACAAACTTGTATGTAAGGTCCTTCACCAAACTCTCAAGAAGCTTCCTGACTGTAGAATGTCAGCCTACAGCTCTGTAGTTACTCGGTGAAGACTTTGATCCCTTTTTAACCCCTTCCTGCCCGGAGCAATTTCTTACATTTGCACATATGGTATTAAAGGAGAACTATGAGGGGGGGGGGAGGGGGGGCGTGCTTTTCACTCACCTCATAGTTCTAGCCGAAGACATGTGTCCTGAAATCAGAGGCCCAGGAGAATACAAATACGCTTTTTGCTAATTTTCGTTACACGGTATTTGCGCAAATGTTTATCAAACCGGTATTTTTAGAATAAAATACATAAAATGAAATTTAGTGCACAGAAACAGATTATAATGCCCAGTTTTTGGGGTAAAATATAAAAGGCGGGGTCACGCCGGGTAAATAGACACCAAACATGTCAAGCCTTAAAATTGCGTGCGTCCGTGAAACCGCAAAAAACGACATTACCTAAAATTTCCCATAGGCGACGCTTTAAACGCTTTTACTGCTCATCAGTTTAGTGTTATCGGTGATGGATGGGCCGAGAATTATCGCTCTCACTGCGACGCTCGCGGCGATATGTAACATGATTGTCGCAATTTTCGTTTTTGCGCGCAGGCGCACCTGCCGCTTGTTTGTGTTGTATGTGCGTGCACGTGGGGGGGCGGGGGGCTTTTAAAAAAATATTTTTGCATTTTGCCATTTTTTTCATATGTTAGTTTAATGTTTTTTTTTGTGTTTTTTTTTTTTACACTAAACTTTATTGCTATCACATGGAGGGCTAACAAGCTCCCTATGTAATAGCAAATATGATGTGACAGGTCCTCTTTATGGAGACATCAGAGATCTGTCAGACCCCCTAATGTCACCTAGAGGCCCCAAGGAAGCTGATAATGCCGAGATCCGCTTCCCCAGCTCCTTCTTCTGGCTCTAAGAGCCGTAGAATGTGCCCAGTGACACCGGAAGTGTCTAGTGATTGGAGGAGAGGTCAGCGGCTAGAAGCCTGCCTCCGATCTCTTAGGGGAGACCTGCTTCGCCGGTATCAGGCCCGCACGGGGGACAGCGGAGCACAGAAAAGCCAGAGGTGGTGGCGGAGGGGGAAGCGCGTATTCCGCTGCACAGGGCCATCTTTAATATTTATTGGGACCCTGGGCAAACATTTTCTTGGGCCCCCTTGGCCCTCTCCCGCCGTGCACTTTGCTCTCTAAAAGAGTAGATAGGAGGAGACGTCATAGGGGGACGTCACCCTGCATGAGACATCACGTGGTGGCGCTATGCAGCATACGGGCAGGGGCAGAGCAGCCCTATGCAATGCGAATCGCATGGTAAACGGAACGGTGACACGTGTGTATCTTTTGCGGGCTCAAGGGGCAGCTGCTTTGGGCCACACAACAGTGACTGGGCCCGGCTCTGCTGCTGCACAGTACAAGCGTTCTGGCGGCTGCATAGACACCAGATCACTTGTATCTAAACAGCAATCGCTGGCTGTTTAGGCCCCGTTCACATTGAGCGATTTATCGCGCGGCAAATTACCACGCGATATCGCTCTCTGATGCTTCTCAATGGGGCAAAGGGTCCTGCTGTCGCGGGTCGTGTGTCGCTACAGCAGGACCCTTTTTGAAGCGGATTTTGCCGCGATTCAAATGCTTACAAATGCTTTCAATCTCGCGATATTGCGCAAAATGCAAATCGTGCGACAAACGCGCAATTTGCATATTGCGGAGTGTGAATGGGGCCTTAAAGTGATACAAAGAACACGGCTGCAGCATAGCCGCTTCAGGACAGGATGCATTTTGACGGTGGGCAGTCCTGAAGCGGTTACTTATAGGCACCATACTGACCTCGCACCAATTCATTAGTACCAAGCCAGTCATTAGAGAGGCGCTAAAAATGAGAAACAATGGCTTCACGCTAACAGAGCTCAATAGACTTGTGCGCCGTCAAAAAATTTGTTCCGTTTCGTTTTGTTCCGTTTCGGAATATCCGTTATTTCGTATTTCGTATCCGAAACTCAATTCGGATTGGTACGAAATACGAATTTTCGTTAGTTTCAGCACATTTTCGTAACTTTACGAACATTCGTTATGATGACGTTAAAAAGCAAAAATACCTTTGTTATTATCGGAGCCGATGTGGTAGTTGTTTTTTTTTATCCGAAATACGAATTCCGTTAACGGATTCCGGATCCGAATTTCGTATTTCGGACTTTTAAAAAAACTCATCAACTCCAATATAAATGTATTTTTGCTTTTTAACTTCAATATAACGAATGTCCGTAACAGAACGAAAATACGTCAACGGAATTTCGTATTTCCTGCCTGTGTATTGTAATGCGACTCTCAGCAGCAGCGGATCCGTATTTCGGATTAAAAAAAATCTTGTCATGTTGTTCACCCTCATTTACAGGGGTAATGTTAGTTCCCGTTTCAAAGAAATTCGGATCCGAAATTCGTTAACGGAATTT